TCAGAATGATCTGGAAGCATTTTACACTTTTGATTGACTCCCTTAAATGAATAAAAAACAATGTGTCATTCAAAATGTTTTTTTTTTGTCAGATAAAATTTAAATCATGTCAGTTAAATTAATTTATCATGTCTCAGTCAACATTTTATACTAAATATTTCTAATACAAACATTTTAACACTGACTACAGATAAATTTAAATAATTCAATTAAAATCCAAATGAACATTTTTTAAGGGATTTTTCACCCTTAAGTGAATTTTTGTCTGTTGTCATATTCCACTGTGTTAGATAAGTGGAAAAAAGCATTTTGTAACCAGCCCGGTCATTCTCCGAATACAGTGGTAAGCAGTAGCTCAGGAGGTAGGGCGGGTTTTCCAGCAATTGGAAGGTTGTAGGTTCGATCCCTGCTGCCACCAGAGAATGCTGTTGTTGTGTCTTTTGGCAAGACACTTAACCCACCTTGCCTGCTGGTGGTGGTCGGAGGCACTGGTGGCACCAGTGTTCAGCAGTCTCGCGTCTGTCAGTGCGTGGCTATACTGTAGCTCATCATCACCAGCGTATGGATGGGTGATTGACTGATTGTGTTGTGAAGTGCCTTAGACGGTTGAGAAGGCGCTATACAAATACAGGCCATTTACCATAATATTGCAGCATTCTGTTCGCTTTAGCTTAGCATAAATAATGTCAATGAATGGTAACAACTAGCATTTTGTGTGGACAAGTCATGAAAATTACTCTAATGATCTTAATTTTTCTTGGTGACCTCAATAATCACAGACTACAAATGAATATAAAAAGTAAGACAAAGGAATTACAGAAGCTGATTGAGATTTGGGACTACATTATGACAAAGCACCACTGGAAGGTGCAAAGACACAATGCAGCGGCCCCCAAAGAACCCTTCTTTGTCATTAACTCTTTCATTTTTAGATCAACTTACTCTGCTTTTCCTTCAAAACACTGTACCGGTTATGAGCTTAGTAGCCACACATTTGTTTTTACAGAAGTAGGTGTCCTTTTGAATTTGAATTATTCAAATGCTAGCTGCTACCATTCACTTGCATTGTTTATGCTAAGCTGAATTCAATTCAATTCAAAAATACTTTATTAATCCCAGAGAGAAATTGATTGCTGTAGTAGCTCAGAATAATAGTAATAATCAAGTCGTCAAAGAGTTATTGTATATTACAATGGCTGTTGGCAGGAAGGGTCTCCAGTAGCGGTCAGTGTTGCAGCCAAACTGAAGAAGCCTCTGACTGAAGACACTCTTCCGTTGTCGGACAGTCTTGTGAAGAGAATGCTCAGGGTTGTCCATCATTTTCTTGATTCTCTGGAGAATCCTTCTTTGCATCATCTCCTCCAGTGGTTCCACAGTCGTCCCCAGAACAGAAGCAGCCTTTTTATTAGGCTGTTGAGCCTTTTCAGGTCCCTGCTTCTGATGCTGCTACGCCAACAGACGATGGCTGAAGAGATTACACTCTCAACAACAGACTTGTAGAAGATCTGCAGCATCTTGCTACAGACATTGAAGGACCTAAGCGTCCTCAAGAAGGGCAGTCTGCTGTGCCCCTTCTTGTAGTTTGCTTATTCAGGTGGACCAACAGGAGTCTCTCCAGGACCTTCATGATGTGGGATGTGAGGGCAACCGGTCTTTAGTCGTCATTGACTGATGGGTGAGTTTTCTTTGGAACTGGAACAAGGCAGGATGTCTTCCACAGGATTGGAACCTTCTCCTGGGTCAGGCTGAGGTTGAAGAGGTGCTGCAGAAACCCACAGAGCTGCTCTGCACAAGCCTTCAGTACTCTGGGGCTGACACCATCTGGACCTGCAGCCTTCTTCCTGTTCAGTCTCTCCAGCTGCCTCTTCACCTGACTTCTAGAGACAGATAGGTGGGAGGAGGAGGTAACTGGGGCAGCAGCATCTCCTGACTTGGTTGAAGACAGATTTATAGAACCAGAAGAGTCCATGACTGCGTTAGTGGACAAAAGAGCTGGTGTGTGACAGGAAAATGTTGGATCAGAGGAGGATGGGATGTCTGATTGGCTGGGGACAGGCAGGGAGGATGCTGGGTTTGCTCCTGAACTGAACCTATTGAAGAACTTGTTCAGTTCATTGACTGTGTCCAGGCTGCCATCTGTGAAACCCTTGCTCTGCTTGAAGCCTGTGATCTTCTTCATCCCTGACCAGACATCTCTGATATTGTTCCTCTGTAGTTTGTTCTCCAGCTTCTTCCTGTATGCCTCATTGCTGTCTCTGATCTTGATCTTCAGTTGCTTCTGTATACTCCTCAATAATTCCCTGTCTCCCTCCTTGAAGGCTCTTTTTTTCTCATTTAGCAGATTCTTCAGTTCACTGGTGATCCAGGGTTTGTTATTAGCAAAGCATCTCACTGTTCTGGTGGGTATGATGTTGTCCACACAGAAGTTTTTATAGTCAGTGACACATCCAGTCGTGGCATTGATGTCCTCTTCATATCCTTGGCAGACAGTCATCCAATCTGTGGTCTCAAAACAACCCTGCAGGGCTTCTTCAGCGTCCTGTGACCATTTTCTCCCAGTTCTTCTTGTCACAGGTTGCCTCTGAACAAGTGGTTTGTATTCTGAGCAGAGATAAACTAGATTGTGATTTGATTGTCCCAGAGGAGGTCTTGTTTTGGAAATGTATGCATTCCTTACGTTTGCATAACAGAAATCCCTTGTCTTGTTTTCTCTGGTGGAGCAGCTGACAGACTGTTGAAATGTTGGAAGTGAAGCAGAGAGCGAGGCATGATTAAAATCACCAGATATAGCCACAAATGCATTGGGGTTCTGGGTTTGTAGCTTAGTGACAACGGAACTGATGGCATCACATGCACTTTCAGCAATGGCTGAAGGTGTAATATAAACGGTTGCCAGGACAACATTGGTGAACTCTCTTGGCAAATAATATGGGCGACAACTTAATGCCAAGAGTTCAACATCTGGGCTGCAGAGACGACATTTCACTGAAACATGACCTGGGTGGCACAATCTGTTTTTGACAAGCACTGCCACTCCCCCTCCTTTTCTTTTCCCGCTCCTCTTCAGATCTCTGTCTGCTCGTACAGTCAGGAATCCTGGCAGAGAGACGCCGGAATCGGGGATATGATCCTGCAGCCACGTCTCAGTAAAACACATAAACTGCCGATACTCTGGCTGAGCCCTTGAAAGGGCTTGGAGTTCATCCATCTTGTTGGCCAGTGATCTCACATTGCCCATTATGATCGATGGAAGAGATGGTTTGAATTTTCCTCTTTCTCTGTCTCCGTTTTGCTCCCGCTCTGCACCCACACTTCTTGCGTTTTAGCTCATTTGGGATTTGTGGCTTCAGTTGAGGTATTATTTCAGCCTTTCCAATGTTAATTAGCTGCTCCCAATTGTAAACCAGCTTGTTGCCATGGTTACACATCATAACAAATGCTCAAAAAGTGAAAAAATAGCAGTAAAAATCCTCTAAGCTTCACAGCACCAGAAACAGAAAAGCAAAATGTCCAAAAAACACCGCTTTTCTTGAGAAACCAGAAGAAAAAACATCCAAATAAAGGCAAAACTTACAAATAGTCAACAGAGCTACTCCAACATGCAGCCACCCAGAGCAGTGCAGTTCCGGAACAAACACAATACTGCCAGATTAGGCTGGTTACACAATGATTTTTCCACACACATCTAACTCTTCCTGTTAAAAGGGAGTTTTCCTCTCCATTGTCGCTGCATGCTTTCTTAGTACGATTGCTGTAAAGACTCTGACTCTAGTCAGTGACTCAATGAAACCTGCTGGATTCCATATACAGGAAACATTTCACTGATTGGCTTCATGAACTGACCTGTTTTGGAATATTTACTTTGTGAAGTGCCTTGAGACGACTCTTGTCGTGATTTGGCGCTATATAAATAAACTGAACTGAACTGTATTGGGGAATATGGCAACAGACACGTCTAGTTATTCTTTCTTAAATTTATATAGATGTAATAAACCTAAAGCAGACTCAGAAACCTAAAGCAGACTCAGAAACCTATCTCTTCTTTGTTGCAATATAAACAGATATTTCATCAACAGTATATTAAGATCTGACTAAGTTGAAAAGATTCTCAGGGTTACTTTGTCTCATCTGTTCTAAATTAAATGACAAACGATTGCAAATGGTTAATTTCATTTCATTTATTTCTTTATCATGAATAATTTCAAAACTTTGATTGGAAGTTAAAGAGCAAGTCACCCCCTACGAGATTCTTACTCAACTCCCACATCATGTTTGAAAAATGCAACAAATGCTGTTGCTGTTCCCCGAGAGGGAGGAGCCGCTAACAAATACGCACACACACAGACTCACAACGACATTGTGACATCATATGGTACCAGCTAACGTTCTAGGGTACCTCTTAGCCATTAGCGATGGCAGATTTAAATTCAAATGCAGTGCAGAGTTTTTGCGTGACAACGGCACAGCCCTGACAGTTTTAGGCAGAAAATAAAAATTTTAACTAAATTGCCCTAAAGTGCAAAACTATCGACTACACGTGTCTGCAGCACAATTAGACACGCATTTATATAGTTTATCAGGAAAAAAAATGTTGATTGGGGGCGACTTGCTCTTTAAGTGAACAAAACATGGTTCAAACTTTTAATTATCAGACGAGTAAGCAAATTATTATAGATGTTTGTTTTTTGTAGTAAGAACAACATAAACAAATCCTCACATTTTTAGACCTCCTGAGAGTTTCTGATCTGATCAAATGTAACCTGCAGAAATAAATTGGGTGATATTTAAGGATGGAGTTGAGGGGATGTCTCCAGCAACAGATCAGACAGCTGCTGCTGTGCAGAACATCCACCATGACGGGGAACACGGCGAGGTTTCACACTGACGCCTCGTGCCTGATCACACGTAAAACTAGATGCTGCTAGGATAAGTAACTGTGACTCTCGTCTGTCTCTTACTGATATTTTTATGCTCTGCTCTTTCCTGTCTCCTCCTCTTAGGCACCAGCAATGGGTCTGTACTGGTTTATAACCTGACCAGTGGTCTTCTGCACAAAGAACTCAGTGTCCACTCCTGTGAAGTCAGGTAAGACTTTTTCCTTCTGTTTAGGAACATTTTTGTTTCCAGGTCAACCAGGCCTTAATTGTGTACTTGGCCCATATTTGATATAGCACTTCTAAGGTTATTCAAGCCCCCCAAGGCTCACAGCTTGAGCTATATGCAGTTACTGTTCAATATTCTCCGTATTTTATTCAGAAAAAACTTGAAGTTAAGCCATGACACATTTGAGTAATTGGGTGCTCTGTCAATTTGATCATTCATGTGAAATTAACTCAGACATTTCAAACATTACCCTTTAAGAGGAAAGAAAGATAACAATCTTTTATATTGCGCCTCTCAAGATAAAAAGCACAAGGAGCTTCACAAAAAAATTAGATTTAATTAAAGTATTAAAAAGATTTAAAAATGATTAAAAATATGTTTAAAATGAGAAAAATATTAAAATTGTGACTAAAAAAAGGTAAGGAAATGGAAAGAGAAAATGAATAGGAAAGAGGGAAATTATTGGATCCTGGGAAAGGCGGAATAAGAAAAAAATAAGGAGAGGTGCTGATGAAGGTCCCACCAAAGATTGAACAGGTGAGTTTTCAGCTGCTTTTTAAAGGAGACCACTGAGTCCACTGATCTCAGGCTCAGGGGGAGAGAGTTCAATAGTCTGGGGGCCACAGCAGCAAATTATCTGTCAAAAAGCCTAATTTATACTTCTCCGTCAGCTCCACAAGGGAGACGCACTCACACGGAGACAATTAGCCCTCATACTTCTCCGTCTCCTGGGGAGCGTTGCAAAGCAATTTCCAGCCAGGACACCAGAGGGCGTAGCGCTGTTCTGTGGTTTCCTGTCATGTATCCGGTCCAAGATAGTGTGTTCATATTATGTTTTTTTGTATTCATGAGACTTTTTAACGCTGACAAATTTGTCACTCATCCTCCTCCACCTCTTCATGTACGTACTCGTCACCTCTAAACCCAAGTTTCCCGTAACTTCCGTCCACAAATAAATCTCTTGCTGCATTTATTTTCACTCCTCTAGTCACGGGGGAATTAAACGTTAATATTACATACGAGTTTTTCCGCGAGGTATTCAAGCTTCTCCGTTAGATAACCTCATCTCTCTTTATGTTTTTGAGTAATGACGGTACTGTATGCAGCGGCGTCATCACCAATCACAAGCTTGCATTCTCCGTCTTGACGGATGGATGTTTAGAAAAGAGAGCTCGACTCCGTTCGTCCTTGCGAGCCTGTTGGAGAACCCTCAAAAGGACGGATAATGGCGTTGCGTGCGTCCGTCCCGACGCAGACGGAGAAGTATAAATTAGGCTTATGTCTAATTGATACTTCTTGGAAATGATGAGAAAGGTGGGTTTAGAGGTGGTAAGCGCATAAAGAGGTGGATGAGGATGATTGACAAATTTGTCCGTGTTTAAAAGATTCTTAAATACAAAAAACACAATTTAAACACACTATCTTAGACCAGGTACGTGACAGGATACCTCAGAAGTATAAATTAGGCTTTAGGCGAGGCTGCTGTTGTTTTGGTCTTGGTAGTCCACTGGCAGAAGCCATGATATGGCTCCTTTAAGCAAGATCAAAGCTTTAAAAAGTGACCAAACCAACCCTATTAGGATTCCGCTCAGTGTTTTGGGACTCTTTAAAGGATTTTTACATAACCATTCTGCAAATCTTTTAAAAAGATTTGAGGTTTAATTAAATGTCTGTTTTAACTTTTGACTGTTTTTAAGGCTGTTATAAGCTGCTATGTGACTAGTCTGGGTAATTCTCAAGAGAATCACTCGGACACGTGTGCATGCTGCTTCTCATGTTGTTGCCTGCTATTTCATCAGTTTTTAGGCTACACCCGTACACATGTTGGAACTTTGCAAAAAGTTGTCACTCTAGCAAGGTTGGTTGCTTTGACAGCTTCCTTTACAATAAAACACAGAGCTGCAGATTACACATCAAGGTCCACTGATCTCAGGCTCAAGGGGAGAGAGGTCCAGAGTCTGGGGGCCACAGCAGCAGATGATCTGTCACCTTTGATATTTAGCCTGGTGCTGCACAACCAGTAGGTTTTGATCACTGGACCTCAGGGACCAGCTGGGGGTGTAGGGACTGAGAAGATCACTGATGTATGATGGTGCTGCTTGTCCATTGTAGTGATCTGAAGTTGTATATTTATACACTGTAATTAGATCTAAGTAATTAATCAGAAGTGGTCATTTTTATCATCAGGGAGTTTACTTAAACACTCTGTATTGACTGAGAGACAAGAAAAGAGAGAGTTGGGATCATTTAAGAATCTTTAATTTCTATAATTATAAATTCTTACAATCTACCAGGGCTATCTCAATGATGAATGCATATGGATTTGGATGTTTCGTGTTGGTGTGTGTGTGTGTTGTTCAGAATCTCTAGGCTGACGTAGCAAATCTGGTTGTTATGACTAGGCTACCACGAGGCTTCAGAAGCTGATGACATGAGCCGCCATTTTGTGCCGTGACCACGTACCTATGGAGTCTCCCGTGTAGATCAGGAAATGCCAGGTCCTGGGACCCTCGGATGTACTGGAGCTGGTAGAACAGCGGTCGCAGCACTACAAAGCCCGTCTGAGGATAGCTCCGATAGCAGTCGGCAGGCGTCAGCAAGTTCACTCTTATTTTGAAGGAACGTCGTCTTGTTGGTTCAAACGACAGAAATGTCCAGCTTGACAGTTCTCAGCTTAAAATAGAAAGTACCGCTGGCCAGCCTGTAACTTTCTTAATGATGACGATGGAAATCCTTAGGACCTCCACATGAACGGAACTGAGGTTAACATGGAACTGAATATAAAATGGCGTTGCCTTGTTTTATATCCCCTCATTGTTTACAAATCTTAGTAAACCGGATTGGACAAATTAAGTAAACAACCCAGGTTCTCTCTACGACAGACGAAAGTTCTGACTGGTTGAAAACAATGTGTCATGCGTTTTCATGGTAATGTAGATCAGTATGTCTGGTGCAGTCCTGTTTATTCATTAAACACATAACTCATGACATCTTTATTTCACAGATCATTCACCTGATTGTTAATGATCAACATATGCTCTGATTAGCTTTTTCACGAATAAAGTACTTTAATTAAAGGAAAGCGTTCTTCTTCTCTTCTTCTGTCTCTTCTCCTGGAATGTAAACATACTGAACCAAGCGTCCGACCTTGGCGATGTTACTGTGTGAAGGGGCAGCTGTTAAGGGCAGACCATTATAAGATTCATAACGCTACACCATGTAAGAGCCTAAAGACAAGAACCAGGATCTTGAAATGAACCTTGAAGTTGACTAGCAGCCAGTGAAGCTGGAGGAGAAGCGGGGTGATGTGGGTGTGTTTGGAGGACTTGGTCAGAAGCCGAGCACAGGCATTCTGAACCACCTGTAGACGGTTCAGGGAGGTTCTGCTCAGACACGTGGAAAGAGAGTTACAGTAGTCTAAGTGTGAGGAGATGAAAGTGTGGAGAACTGTCTCAAGTTCAGAGCGGGACAGAATGGGACTCAGCTTAGCAACGTTCCTGAGATGGAAGAAGGAAGTGCGAACAAGAGACCTGACATGAGAATCCAGGGTGAGAGCCAAGATTCCTGACAGAAGGTTTAGTGTGGGAAGCAAGCTGACCAAGAGAGTCTCTGACTTTGGGAACCAGCTTGTCTGGGGCACAGATGAGGATCTCAGTCTTATCTTCATTCAGCTGTAGAAAGCTCCCCGCCATCCAGGTTTTAATTGAGTCTAAGCAGGTGTGTAACAGCTGCAGCTTAGACATCTCATGGGGCTTAAAGGAGATGTACAGTTGGATGTCATCTGCATAAAGATGGTAGGAGATTCTTTTAAAAGAGCTCGGGATGTGCTGAAAAGGAAGCAGATAGAGGAAGAAGAGTAGAGGTCCCAGCACAGAACCTTGTGGGACACCATGGGTGAGGAAGGTGTTGGAGGACCTAAACTGGCAGATGGCCACAAAGAAGGAATACCCAGACAGATAGGAGGAGAACCACTCCAGAGCAGATCCTGATAGGCCTACCCAGTCTCTCAGCCTCTCCAGTAGCAGGTGATGGTCAACAGTGTTAAAGGCTGCAGTCAGGTCCAGCAGGACCAGAACAGAACAGTCCCCTGCATCACTGTGAGTCAGAAGGTCATTAGAGACCCTAAGAAGAGCTGTTTCAGTAGAATGAGCTCTACGAAAACCTGACTGGAAGCTATCATAGATGTTATGTTCATCAAGAGCAGCTGTGAGCTGTTTAGCCACAACCTTTTCCAAGATCTTGGAGATGAACGGAAGTTTAGAGATGGGTCTGAAACTTTATTGGCTGTCCATAGTAGTGAAATGTAATGTAGAAGAAGTTAGGGCTGGGCGACATGGCTTCTAATCAAAATCTCAATATGTTGCATCTATAGTAGTCCACACTCGTCATATAAGTAATATGTCATTGTTACGGTGCACGCACAGCTGCGGGGGAGAGGGAGACGCTGTAGCACTAACCGTGATTTCGTGGGTCACATGCAGAAAACACAACACACCAGCTTTCCTCACACCAATCTGATACGGATCAGAGCGACTGATCAGGACAACAGAGACAGAGGAGTTATGTGCTTGATCCATAACTGGAGGGTTGCAGGTTTGCTCCCCGCTCAGTCCGTCATAGTTGTCATGTCCGTGGGCAGGACACTCCACCCTCTTTACCTGCTAGTGATAGTTGGAGGGACCAGTGGTGCCGATTATGATGCAGGTTTGCTTCTCCGCTACGTTGTGATTCATCACCATCAGTGTGTAAATGACTGTTGCGTTGCAAAGCGCCTTGGGGGGTCGTGGGATTTACCATCAATAACAACTCTCCCTGTAGCTTTGACTAATTCTTTACAGTTATTTAGACAATCCTTCAGATGTGACATGTGACATTTTTATTTGAAGGTATTTTCTATTTTAACAAGATAAATATCTTTGTTAATATTTTCCGCAGTTTTATGTTCATTATGTCCTCTTGTTTTTACATAGCAGTTATTTTTA